ACTGTTCCATGCACCCTCATGGTAGTAACCCCACCATCTCCTGTGACTGCATGTAATTAGTGTTTTAAAACGCGTATAGCTTAATGCGTCGCGTTTTGGCTCATATACTGTGTAGCGTAAATAGCGTTGCGTATTGTGTAAGCTATTTGGGTATTATTTTTTTTATAGAAGTATTATAAATGTATTTGCATATAACAACACTGGATGGTTGATTCCCAAAATTATCATTGTATTTGAATGACTTCAAAGATAACATCTAAGAATTATTTCTCGCAAATGTGTAATGTAAATATCATAATATAAATATTTAAATAATAAATCGAATATACTAAAAAGTAAAAACAAACAATGAAATATAATGAGGTAAGTCATAGTTTAATTTTAAGTAGATGCATTCTAATTATTATTTTTTATTTAACTACAACTTAATTCTAACAATTAGATATAGACTTTTTATTTTTTATTTAAATGTCAAATATCAAAAAATAAAATGATATAATAGAAATGGATCGATAAATATTGCACTATTCAACTTATGACTTTGCATTTTCAAACTTTTAAATTGAAATTTTTATTTTAGTTGTCATTTGTAAATATGACTCTGATCCCTAAAAAACACGTGTTTTGAATATTTTTTTTAAATGTAGTTGCAGAAATATAAAGCAATGTAGCGAACAATAGTGTGGAATAGCGCAAAATAGCGTAAGAAAACATGTCATTTCTACATTTCGCGTAATCTTTTCGGGAAAAACGCTAAATATATAAAGCTACGTCGCGTTTTTTGAAAAAAAAGCTATATAGCGAGCAATAGCGAGCTATTTAAAACAATGCATGTAATGCAACCTGTATCTCTTTCATTTCAAATTCACAGCCTGTCTCCTGTATATTTTTCTATGGAGGGTGATCATATAATGACTCTTCTTCCTCAGTCATGATCATGTAAAACACTCTGTTCTTACACCTATGCCCTTTAGAGAAGGGTTCATCACAGTTATAACATAGACCCTTTTCCCTTAGGAAAGGGTTTGACCATTTCTGGCCTTTTCTGAGTGGGATTAAATATGGTGTAAGGTTTGTTGCTAAGTTTGATTTTTTTGGTGAGGGCATCCAAGGTGTGGAGTTGCCTCTGTCCCAACTCAATGGTTTGCTGGAGAGAATGAGGATCAAACATTTGTATAAATGATTGTAACTCATCACTTAGACCACTATTGAAACTGGCACTAAAATACTCCTCAAAATATACCCCCTTGTTAAGTAACAACATGCGAGATTTTAATTCTTCAAACTTCTCAACATATAGGAACCTGTTTGTTTTAATTTGTTAAATTCAACAATTATCTTAGCCTCCCTCAAATCCTCAAACCTTGCAGAGATAATATCAACAAATTGAGTCCAAGTAAACTCCTCTTATTTTTTAATAAAATTTTGAAACCATTGGGCTGCTTTCCCTTCAAAGTGCATAGATGCTATAGCAACCCTTTGGGAATTTGGGATGTTTGGTGTTAGTTTAAAGTAAGGCTGACATTTAAGGATCCATGCTCTTGGTTGGGTACCATCGAATTTGGGAAAGTCAATTTTTGGTAAAGGGCTGATGAAATTTGGGGTAGGGTTTTGGGTGAACCCCTGCTCTACCAGGTCCGAATGTGGCATCGCTCTCCGAATGCCCTAGGGCATGATGAGATTTCTTTATCACAGCTACAATTTTAAATATAGATTGAATGCATTGCAGTAAGGAAGGTTTAAAGCGGGGAAGCTTCTATGACTTCACTTCGCTTCGAAAGATTACATTGACCTCTCCTTGTAAGTCGAGCATCTTTCGCCCCTGGAGATGAAACTTTGCTGGAATTTTATGACTTCGTTCGATTACATTGACCTTCCCTTAGGGCCTCACTCTACTCTAAGCGGGGCTCACAACCAAAGGATGCACAGAGTGAAGTTGCCTGTGACGCCACTCCTTTCTTTAGTATCCGAGGTGGGCTCTTAAAAGAGCTTCTTCTAGTTGAGTGGTCAAATTGAGAAATAGACCCCTGTTTCCCAGAACCAAATGACATTTCAGGGTTTTCAAGTATAGAATCATGTGTGTTTGATTGTACCTTGCTGATATTGAGGAGTTGCAGCTGTATTGAGGCCATGGTTTCGGTGATATGGTCAAATTTTTCACTGAAATCTGTGTCCATTTCGTGCATCTTGTCCTGTAATTTGATTTCTGCCGCATCTCTTTTGAGACGCTCTGTTTGCACCAACTGATCGAGTTTTTTCTGGGATTCCTGCAGATCTTTGAACCTTATCGCCTCAGCCATTTTTCACAAGGGATCGAGAAAGCTCTGAGTACCAATTGTAATATTTTCTTAGAATTGTATAAATGAATATTGTAGAAGAATAGCTAATTATGTTGTAAGCTTGATTGATATGAGTAACAATAGAAGAAATGAGGAAGATGATAGTATAATTTTTGCTTGCTCATAACTGAAAGATACCAGCATATTTGTAACATTCACACGGGCCCACAAATGCCTAACAAATTTTGTTGCCCTCATTTACTAAAAGAAAAATTCTGCTAAGTACATATAAAATAAATGTACAAAAAGGCGTACATAATACTCGCATAGAGTGGGGTTCACTTAATTATTAGTATGACTCACTTAATGTGAGTGTTATATACACCTCTACGTACATTATTATATACCTATAACATTACTCTTACTAAAATTACTTAAAAGGTAAAACATAACTACTAATCTATATATATATTTATATATATATATATATATATAGTTACTGGCAAACTTCAATAAATTTTATTCAGCCAGAAATTAATAATAAAATGAGTTCATTTAATAAAAATAAGTGTTCATTAAATAAAAATATATAACTTTCAGTTGCATAATTTATTTTGACAGTCCCATTTTGGATGGTGCTCATATCTGTAACGCCTTTTTATGTCCTGAAATACAAAATATTTTTGTTTTTATTTTGGTACTATATATTTTCTGATATTGTATAAATACATATTTCATAACTAATTAAGAATGGATACAAAAATCTCTATTTTCTATTGCAGTCTTATAATAATAAAAAAATATCTTTTCAGATATTACAAAGATATGTGAAATATTTGAAATATCAAACCCAGAGTCACGAGTTGAAGGGGTTTAATGATATTAATTTGTAGTGATCAGGATTCTGACGATAGAAAAACTACGATTGTTGTACATATAAAGAAGTATTTAATAATATTTAGATTCAATTTTTAAAATTATTTTTTCTCATTTATTAAGTTATGATTTTCATTTTAATCTATATTTTTAATTAATTTCTCTTCTATTATATCGCTTTTCATGCAAATGCACGGGGTAAAACCAGTAAGGTCATGACAAATGGATGGCTAGAATAAATTAATAATGGTTTAATAATTCCATCGGCTGGAGCCACGTGTCGCTGCTTCATTCTTCAAACATTTTTGGCCTAACAAAAGACCATTCTCCTCAATTGACCCCGATCCTTCAATTCCTTTCTCTTCTGCAAACACTAAATTTATTTTATCTTCAACAATCTCCTCCGAAGCCTTTGAATCCATGACAATTTTTTCTTGAGCAATTGTGTCTTTTCGCTTCGCCACCAATCAGTCAATTTTGTTTTGTTAGAATAGACACTTATGAGTTGTCCCACATCATCTATACAGGGAAAGTAGGCCTAACTTATAAGCCTGGTGGGCTATTCTTCCTACTACTAATTGGTTTTGGGATGGAATCTCACTTGGGCTTCATTTGGGCTTCCCTGATTTGGTGCACTTTGTCTAGGACCGCACCCGTCAACCTCCATTAGTCATGTTTGTTGACCATTTCTTTTGGCTCAATCGACTATTGTTCTGATCTATCTGTTGATGATGAAACTTGTAGCTGTTTGTAGAATATGTAAAAGCTATTAGTTTGTATGGAGATTGCCAAATTATTGGCCTCTTGCTTGTGCTAATGTTCATGTAACAACTCTTGATTTCTGAGTCTGTGGATAGAAAAGCAGTTATTAATGGAACTCTGTAAATGGAAATGCTTGGGGCCATGAAGCACAATTTTTTTTTTTGGTTATGAACTTGAATTTTTTTGAATTTTTTGTATATTTTTTCTGAANTTGAGAATAGACTAACCTACAAAGGTGAAAGGAAGAAATTGGGGAGGGAGATGAGCATAGAACACGTGAGTGCGGGGGCGCTGCTGCGGGCAAATAACAGCAGCCCCAACAGTTAGTTTTCAGCCTTTGATCATAAAAACAATAAAATAGAATCCAAGGGCTAAGAACAAATAAGGAATAAAGTAATAAAACTTTAACTTGCTTAACCTAATTGGAATAATGCGTACAAGTATTTGAAGGAGATGGTGGAGGAGAAGCATTTGCGTTCTCTTCCCTGCCCGGGAAGGTAGATCAAAGAGAGGGAGAATTCAAGTGAGACTGCTAAAAGGCCTTGACTAGAGCATTGAATTTCCCTACCTTCTGCAAGAGTGAGATCGGGCACCACTATGCTTATGGCCGCGCATGTATCCACTTCTTTATTTGGAGGCCGAGCCCGAGGGTTTATGAGATGATTATGGAGCAGTTGAAAAAGGCAGGGCAGCTGAAGAAGCAGGAGGAGTTGATGGGAAAAATGGTGGAGAGAGAGTTTATAGCTCCACCTTTGTAGGGGGAGGGGGGGGGAGGGGAATCAAAATTGCCAGTTCTGAGAATGCATTTTGATGAAAATTGAGTGGAAGCAAGTTCTTGTATTTCTTGAAGCATTAGTAGCCTGTGTTCAATCATGAGCCGAATTTCACTTGCAGTTAAAATGATTAGGCTCTCACTTTTCGTTGGGGTTTTTGGATTTTTATAGTCATATGGATGAGATTATTTTTTTGATGGAATTTGATGTTATTTCTTTTTTATTCTTTCCTTTTTTTTTTGGATAATGATTTGAATATTAATATGTTGTAAAGTTAATTGACTTGGAGGAAAAAGAATTTATGTTGCAATTAACTTGAGAAAAGCAATGCTTCCACTTGAATTGATGTGTAATTGCTCCACAATTTGCCCAACCAAGGAATGAGAAGGTCTGGATTGACAATTTCAAGATATTCCATCCATTGCAGACCAATTTGTATCATCCTCAATTTCCATTTGGCTAGTTCTTGTATGTTACCTGTGTTCTTCTGAATGTACCTATAAGTGCTAAGAAATGGACGATGGTTGCCTTGAAAGAATAAAACGAGCTAAAAAAACTCAAATGACAAAATATTTCACAAATAAATCAGGAACAAATATAATTTAACCATGATGTGGGAAAATATAACAAAGGTACAATTGAAATTGTGAACTCATCAACCTAGGCATGTCCAATTACACCAGGGCAGAAACTAGACAATTAAGGGCACAAAACATACATAGGATAAATATTTTTTCCCATAAGTTGCTTGATGGATGATATTCATCATATTTTCATGCATTATGAGTGATATATTGTGATATTTGGCCCTGGTTATCGTGTGATTGTGCACCAATTCGTTTTATTTATTAAACTATGATAGAGGTGTTTTTGTCGTTGTTTTTGTAGGAAATATGCCCGGAAATGCATTGGAGATGGAATCGGGACGAAAAACGGCGAAAACGGGTGCAGAAGAGGTCACACGACTCGTGTGGGTAGTGACACGGGTCGTGTGGGTTGAGAAAATAAGAAACGCAGCTACGGCTTTTTCACACGGGTCGTGTGGCTTGTCACACGGGTCGTGTGGCCTCACACGACTCGTGTGACCCGGTCGTGTGACCAGTCGTGTGAGTCTGAAAGTTCGCCGAAACGTTGAGAAAAGTCACACGACTCATGTGGCATGTGACACGACTCGTGTGACGCGCAGACCAGACCTGCGGGGAATAGGATTCTTGTGCGATTTCTTCCCTTTTTCGACCCAGAATAGCCCTACAGTATAAAACAGACCTTAGGAACTCGTTTTTGGGACTTTTGACACCATTGGAGGCCTAGAGAGAGCACGAAACACACGAGGGATTCGAGGAAGTCAAGATTGAAGATCTGAGAACTAACGGCGACAATAGTTCTTCTTTCTTTTCTCTTTTTCTTCTTCATTGAACTCATGAATATATTTATGTTGAGTTTTGAGAATATGTTTAGTAGCTAAACTTTTAGGGATTCTAGGATTTGCGAGTACTCGGATTATTTTATGAAGTGATTTTGCTTATTCATTCCGGTTTATCATTCATTTATCAATTTCTTGTGCTTTTATTAATTGTGTGAATATAAGGGCCCATATTTATGCATATTTGTGATTGACTTGAGACCGAGAGGAGATAGTTGATTGCTAGAATTGGGAAATTCATAACGTAAGAGACTAAACAGACCGAGAGGTTGATAGAATCTTGCGAGGGAACTAGAATCTTAGGAGCTTATGGGAGTTGATTGTTCATCTTGAGACCGAGAGGAGATAGATAACAGTTAATATCTACGATTTAACTTGTTCGAGAGAAAGGTGTAAGTTACTTTAGTGATTATCCCTACGAATGGTAGAATTAAATAAGGTTTGAATGAATAATTAATCTTTGTTAGAATAATCCCGAGGAAAGCATTGCCTAGAATCTATTTTCTCATTCTCGATTTATCTTAGGACAAGCCTTCATTAGTGTTAGAATTTATTTTGCAATCATTCATTAGTTTAGAATAAAATCACCATTCAAATTTGCATTAGACTAAATAATATTTAATCGTTTACATTTTGATACTTAGTTAATTTTGACAACAATCTCTGTGGAATACGACCTTGCTCGCCACTCACTACAGCTATACCGTACACTTGCGGATAGTGAAAATATTTTGCGAACAATGGAACTCATGTACTGATCCTGCAAAACCATGTCCACGAGGTACAGCTCGTACAGGAACCAAACAGAACAGCCCTTCTTACATCTCAGGAACAGGGATGAGTACCCTGACTAGTGGGCTTCTAGCGAGTTCCCGCCGAGGTACAGATAGATTGTCCAGTGGAGGTGGCCGACGTTGAACCTCAATACAATTGAGAATAAGTGCAACTGATCCTCAAAAATAAATCCCGAGCTTGAAGTGTTGTCAGACAAATGATCGACAGAATAAGGGCAATGGAAATTTGGAGTTTCACACGTAGGCCACATTTCGCAAAATTCATGGCTGCAAAATATGGGCTTGCTGCTGCTCGATTGGCATGGACTATACTCCCCTAACTTTTTATCATGTATAATAGATGCCCCAGTTACAAGGGAGCACCTACCAAATCAATCAGTCAAGTATTAACTGCTAAACCTGCTATAAGTAAATCTAGTCATAGTGCATGGCTCAAAGATCTGACATCTGATGATTGTTAGTAAGGAACTCATCACTTAATTATTAAACGAAAGAACATAAAAGATATCATAACCTAAGAAATTTGTCTCAATACGTATTAATTGCTGCAAATATTACTGCTAACAGACTAAGAGCAACATTAGAAAATCAGACACAAATAGCTAAATTCGATTACTAGAAAATCACTTAATGTTCCATTTAGAATGGAAATCTTCATTATTAAACTTCAAATTAAGAGTACAATCAAACAGAACACCTTAGCTTTTGAAATGTTATGCAAATCACATAGAAACTGATGCCTTCACCGAAAAAGCTCTATAATCATTAGAGAAAGAGTAAAGAGTTGATTTTGACAATTGATTGCATACCAATATGTGATAGTAACTCAATGAGAATCAGCCACACTTTTTACAATCACAAGAAACCCAAAACATATCACTTCCAGTATCCAAAAGCTACAAGGAAAGATTTATTTGGAGTCCTAATATCCATCCAAGCATAATGCAACCTGAAAAAACCAAATATTATGCAGACCATATGCATTTCATTTTGCAAACGATTTATTCAGCAGAATCAATATAACACACCAATCATTCAATTTCACAGCATTCATGTTTCAGATTTCATACATTCTGAAAACAAACAAGACACTAAACAAGAATGTAATGTCACAATTATTCAACCAAGAAGGGGTATTATTACAAATTTGTTTGTTCTTCACTGCAAACAATAACAATCATTTAAACTTTCACAAATGAATTTACATCTCATTATGTTAGCATTGGTAGATAAGGAATTACTTGAACACTATACGGAACATGAAATTACTCCCGAAAATCAAATGAATAAATTGGGATTTTAGGTTACCACGCAGAGTAATGAGTTTAATAAGCTATAATCTCCATCAAATAGACTTAAGCATAATCGTATAACAAAAAAGAATAGTAATATGAAATTTTAGGTTGCTCTCGATTTCTTTCTTGAGGTAGGATCTTCTGCAGCGGGTGTAGTTTCTCAGCGCCCACTCGGTGGAGCCCCCCCTCCCCCCCTGTATTGTTCGATTAAAAATTTTCGGCGCTGGCGCCTCTTTCATGAGTGTTGAATAGATGAGAGTTGGAGGTGGTAAACTGAACCAGATGAGAAAGATGGCTGACGACGGCAAATTTTTTTTTTATTACTTTATTCCTTATTAATTACTAGCCCTGGGATTGTATTTTAGTTTTTTTATGATCAAAGGCCGATAACTAACCGTTGGGGCTGCTGTTATTTGCCCACAACAGCGCCCCCGCACCCGAGAAATTGAAGGAGAAAAATAGAAGTGATATTACTTCTTGTTTTCTTTTTTCTCACATTACACCTACTTATAGAATTTATTTACAAAAGCCCAACAATATTAACCTACTAATTAACAACCAAAGCCCAAGCCCATTAACTATCATATCATAAACTAATATAAAATCACTTGGTAAAATATTAATCTAATCCCTATATTGGGTACATGACAATACTCTCTTCTCGAAAGAGTCTCGTCCCCGAGACTCATATGTCGAAAATGTGACCAATGCACCCAACGGCTCTCCATTCCAAATATTCAAAGGCCCAAAAGTAAATTCTTCTTGTAGCAGCCCAAAAAAATAATCCATGAGATATCCCACTTCAGTTTGAGAATTTTGCAGTCCATACGAGAAGATTCCTCAATTTTTGTAACTCTACCATAGTAACTAAAATAATTACGTATCTACCTAAATCAACATATTTAATTAGATTAATGTCTAAATAAGTTATCACATCCTTTCCAACGCCCTCCCCTTGTTATCCGCTTAAATTACCGTTTCATTCTTGAAAAAAAAAATCTCTACATATTTATGAAGCAGATCAACCTTACTGCTCGATAGCCCTCCTAAAAACGCGGCTGAGATGATGATTGATTGTGGTTCACCGGCAAGGGGCTGACGAAGAGGGTCGCCGAAATCTGAGGGAATCTATAGCGATGGGAAATCTGTTGTTGTGCTGTTGTCGTCGCCAGCAGTGGTGGGTAGTACGGGCGGTTGGGTAAGGGGTGACGACAAGGTAAAACCGAGAAGGGCTTGGGATTATCTTCTGAGCGATTTCTCAGAGGTTGGGAGCTCTGAGATTTCTGTACGATGAGGTGAACGATGATGAGAGAGAAAGAATATACATGCAGTATATGTACAGTATATGACCCGCGTCCCTGCCAAAAAATAAGAATAAATTTCGACCAGAAAAGCGGATGGGGACACACATATACAAAAAATATGCATAAAATATACACTCGAGTTTTAATCGATACTCAAATCAATTTCAAAACTCACATATATATAAAGTATACATAAAATATACACTCGAATTTCAATCGCTTCTCAAATCGATTTCAGACTCCATACATACATAAGATATTCACTCGTAATATTCAAGCCAGTGACAGATTTGGATACAGAAAAAAAATAATACCAAATTTTTTTAGGGGATAGTATCAGCAAGATTGGTTGATTTTCTGAATCGTCTACAATTTTGTTGCGTCATACGATAGGAAATATACACTTTCCATTTTTTTTTTGTTTGCAAATAATACGATTGATTAACAAATCCCGTTATATAAGGAGAGTGATTTTTGTTTGTTGAGGTAACCGCAACAATTAAATTCCATTCATTAGGTAAACTTGAAAATTAATTAACCCACTTGGTAATATTGCAATTAAATAAAAAATGTTGTGTATAGATAAAATTTTCCCCTTCAATTTGACATGGCTTCATGTTAATGAAGACTGGGCCCAACCCAATTTCCGGTAACTGAACCAACCTAAAGCCAGAATTTGCACCCTTGTCAGCCCAAGTAGGGGGTGCAATTTCCTCAAAAGGGAAATTTTTATGTATACTTACCGTTTTTTAAGTAATTGCAACATTACCATCCAAACCAATAAAATTGTGTATATACCTAAGAGATAAAAAGTAATTATGCCTAAAACAGTTACAAGGTGAACAACCATTCCATATTTATAGCGCACAATTTAAGGATTCAAGATGGAAAGATATTATATTTGAATTTAAATTCATAATCATCGTTGAAACAGACGAAAAAGAAAAATGAAACACGCCAAAAATATACTGGACATGCGTCAGCACTACCCCGACGAGCAGCGTCCCCAGGATGTGAGATTGCATCCTGACTTTAAATCTTTAACGGCAGAATATACCGAAAATATACTGATAATATACTGTCGAACGTCTTCCTGTTATTGTCATGAAAAAATATACCGATAATATAGTGATAATATACCGAAAATTTTTAATCCACAGGTGTATGGAATGATTATATCTGTACATATACTTTACATCCTNGTTTTTTTAATGGTATATATATCATTTTTTTAATCATTTGTAATGGTATAAATATCGTGTTTTAATGATATATATATATCAGTTTTTTTTAAACATTGCTCCTTTGAAAATATACCTAAAAATATACTGAATATAAACCCTGACTTTAAACTTTAACGGCAGAATATACCGAAAATATACTGATAATATACTGAAAATTTTTAACTATTACATACTGTCGAACGTCTTCCTGTTAATGTCATGAGAAAAAAAAACATGGAAAACAGTAAAACAAGACTAATAATATACTGGAAATAAACCATACAATTTTCATCTTCATTGAACAATAAAAACAAGAAAAAACTACAAATGACTCGATCCAGATAGAAGCAAATAATTGAAACAGCAGAGTTAAAATCATGAATTCCAACAGCAAATAATTGAAGCACCTCAGAAATATGAACAGTTGAAACCTCTATCTTTACCGGGAAGAAACATAACCACTAAATTAAAAAAAAAAAATGCTACGTTTAAAGCAATTTACAGAAGTTCGTTCTCTATACATTTGATAATCTGTTCTCAAGCTCCTACAATCATAACATACTCAAATCTTAAATAAGCTCACCTTAAGAAAAAGGAAAAGAAAAAAGACAGTATAATTAGAATCACTCAAGAAAACACTTTCTGGTTCTAACAAGTGCTCACAGGGTAAGGGTAAATCAACAATTGAAGAACAAGTGTTCAATTGCTGGGTAAGGGTAAGGGTAAATCAACACTTTCTGGTTCTAACTGTGAGCACATGATTTTAACTCGACACTCTTCTACACAGGGTAAGGGTAAATCAACAATTGAAGAACAAGTGCTCACAGGTTTTCATTTTCATTTTCGTCGAAATCCTCGGTGTAACTCGACATTCTTTGCAATTGCTGCTGTGATTGCCCTAAGAACAAGTGTTCACAGTTTTCTCGGTATAACTCCAAAGGAAGAGAGGTTTTTTTCGGAGGAGATGGTGTATTGTGGGGCGGTGGGTGATTTTTTGCATAGTGATTTGATATCTTTGACAGATTTTTTGATAATTATATCAATTGCATTTAATAAAATCTGTAACTCCTTAATTATCTGGTGTAACTCTTTAATTATCTTTTTAGGTATATTAGCAATATTTTAGATTTAATTTAATAATTATATACATATTTATCTAATACTCCCTCCATTTTGAAATATAAGACATTTAAGGTTATTGCACAAATATTAAGAAGACATTAATTGATGAATAAATTGACTAAATTAACCTTATTTACTCTAATCATAACCACTCCACACTTCTTTAATTTCAACACAATAAGGGTATATTTGAAAAAAAATACAAAAATTTGTCTTGATTTTTGAAAGCGCTTCATATTTCAAAAAAATTGAGAAATCTTTATACGCCTTATATTTCAAAATGGAGGGAGTAGTTTTTCAAAACTCAATAGTGCTCCAACCCAAATTCAGATGCAGCCCCACCAAAATCCAATTCTCGAAGCTTCGTTCATCGAACACTCTTCTCCAGAAATTGAAAATCTTTCTCAGCTCCGGTCTCCGGCCATCACACCACCGAGCAATTCTCGTGACCACGTGTAAGCCACGCTCACCGTACTCGGACCACCAAAATAATCATAGCCCATCGCCAACCTTCTCCTATTCTCGAAGCTTCGGTCATTTTCCTTTCCACCATCAGAAATTCGACAATGCTCCGATCGTCTTCTCCGACCATCATACCTCGGAGAAATTCGCCGAGACCATGCGTCAGAGCGCCCGTTGCTCATGGGAATCCGACAGATCCGAGCTTTTTCTCGACCGCTATTTTGGTGGTTCTCGTAACTGAGGGGTCGGCAGCCCCGGCTGCGAGTACCCTTGCCTTTTTCGTTCGTCGTCGTGGAAAATCCAGCGAGGAATGACCAGCTCCGCTCCTTCGTGGTTCTTCGTGACCAAGATATACGTCTACCGACATGTTTCGGAGGCCGGCGAGACCAATCGTACGCCCGCCCTTTTTTCGGAAGCCCGCGAGACCAAGCTTCTTCACGGCCGCCGTAGTGCTTCGCCTTTGTATATGTAGCCACAAAATTCTCTTCCCGGTCGTAGTTCAAATCGAGGACTGAGAAGTCCACTCGATTCAGATTCAGATATAGTTGCTGCTCCAATGGATCAATGAGTACCAATTTGAGGTGAGAAGTGTTTTGATTTGTCGTGGCAATTGAAAACTCTTCTGTAGATTTATTTTCCAAATCCTTATCCAGAATTTTTGACTCTTTGGTAGCTCCTGCAGGTGTGTTCGTTGGATCTCTTGATTGATCTCCAACAAATGCTGGTAACTCCTCTGTTTGCACCTCATTTCCAAGCGAGGCCTCAATCTGGATGATTTGAGGTTCAATCTCTTTTTTAGAGACTCCAGTTGGGTTTTCCATCAACACACCCTCAGCTTCAATATTTTCCTCATGACTATCATGAAAAATTGGATGAGATTCTGGAGAGCTTGAGAATTTCAGATCCAAATTGGAAGTGATGATTGGGGCTAACTGAGAATGAGTGAGGGCTTCAAGTGTAAGTTTCTTTTTGGCCAAGGATACTGGTTCTGGTGTAAGGAAAGGATTTTTGGGTAGATTTTGGGGTATAGTGAATTTCTGGGAACGAGATTGCAGTTTAAGGATTTGCAATTGTATACAAACAAGTACCTCATCTATGTGATCGAATTTCTCATTCATCCCTTTCATTTGCTGCTGGAAATTGGATTTCATCCCCTGGAGATTTGATTTGAACCCATCTATTTGGCTTTGCAACTTCATCTCCGAAGCCTCCCGTTTATGAATTTCCAGTTGCATCTTTTGTTCCAAAATTTTTTGTTGCCTTTCTAACTGATCGAGAAGGAGCTCGTCTGCCATCATCTGATGATCGATTGCTCTGATACCAATTGTTATGAACTTGGATTTTTCTGAAATTTTATGTATATTTGTTCTGATTTGTTTTTTGAGAATAGGCAAACCTACAGATGTGAAAGGAAGAAATTGGGGAGGGAGATGAGCATAGAACACGTGAGGGAGAGAGAGTTAGAGGAGAGAGAAATTGAGGGGAAAAAATAGATAATGATATTACTTCTTGTTTTATTTTTTCACATTACACCTACTTATAGAATTTACTTACAAAAATCCAACAATATTAATCTATTAATTAAAAACTAAAGCCCAAACTCATTAACTATCATAACATAAATTAATATAAAATCACTAAGTAAAATATTAATCTAATTCCTATATCGGGTATATGACATTTTTTTCGATAAAAAAGAACGAGTCCAGAATTATTTCAAAGTATGTTGTTTATGTTTTAGTGGAAGATAAGAAATACCACCTCTAACGTTTTGCCCAACTACAACAAAAGAACGGTTAATCTTGTGCACTTGGAAAAACTGTGGATGGTTGTAGTTGGGCACTAAAACATGTCATATACAACTAAAAACTTCATGAGCACTCTCCTCAAAGTCGAGGGGGACTGCAGGCTGCTGCCGAGACCCATTGTTCGCGAGTTCCGGCTGACCACTCTCCTCAATTACCCTAGACTGTCGAGAATGCATTTGGACTGTGGTGACATAAATGGATTTGAGCCTCTGGGAACGGTTTTATTTAAAGCCTCGGTATGTTTCAAGCTCGAGATTTGTTGTAGATGGAGAAAATATGTTGGGCTAGCTGCCACCAGCTAAAGTTGCGCCTCCCCAATTTCTATATTTGGCCGAAGCACTTGTTCGCACCTAGTTTTACATTTTGATCCTTGGCAGAGTTGGGTAGCTGTACATTTCAAAAATGGGCAGGGAGAGTTTATCTCGTGGAGAGAAATAACAAATCGAATCAGTTTGTTTTTTATCTTGAAGGTTTTGGTGGAACGGAAGTCTTTTTATTTCTGTTGTCAATGTGAAAATATGGAAGGGAATGAGAATACTTGTATTACAGAAGCAAATTGGACAAGACCCCCTGACATCACGGGATTTGAAAAATTATGAAACCAAGAACCAAATCTTGCAGTCATTGGAATCTAAGTTAGAAGGTTGGCCATTTTTCCATTTTACTGACTGTTTTTTTGTCACTATTTCTTGTGTTACCTAAAGCAGAGTAAATGAGGATATCAAAATTTTTAATATAATATGTCACTATTATGAATGTTGGCGTTGTAAATTGCTTTAAAGTTTATTTGACATGAATCAAAAGGAAACATAAAGTTAATTATGTGTAGGTTAGAGTATATTTCTAACCTGTCTTTGAATTCTACCTATACTCACAATCTAGAAAATGCCGAGTATTGATGATACAAGAATTCTTTACCCTTATTTACTAACTTGTGGGTGTATAGGTTGAATTATGCAGTCTGTGCATAAGTGAAGGCGAAAACAAGTGTTATGGAATTCTATGAACACGGATAAGTGCATATTCAGTTATATATTCTCAACTTGGATAAAGCAAAAGTTGCAATAGAAACAAGAGAGCGCCACACACAAATGTAGTTGTGTGTAAAATTTGCAGATTAGTGTAAAATCCATGCCAACACCAATGGTAAGCAAACACCGCCTTCCAAAACCCTCACAAGATCAAATCAGTCCCTAATTTCAAATAGATACAAAATAAAGTATCAAATAAAACTGCATAAGTTCCAACTGAAAAACTAATAATATGTTTCTTGTTGTAGTCCCTTAATGCAAGCTTTGCCCCCTCCTCCCATATCTCGATACGCTGTCTTACGGGCCTGCGAGAGCGATAACAAGATAAATCGCAACATAGAAATATTTATGTGTTATCAATTGTCTAACCACAACAATATTAAGGAATTCACAGGTAAGTTAACTACTGGCAGATTAGCATTACCAATTCATAAGCTGAAACAAAAAAAGAAAAAAAAAAACATGGAGATGTGAAAAAAATGAATCATGGCAGATAAAGGATCAAACAAATAATCAAACAAAAACATCAAATTCACAATACAAGCAATGCCCTAATTCGAAGGAAAAGTTCGCAAAGGATAAAGAAGTCCACAACAACTCACACGTTGCCGTTAGTTGATTTTTTGGACAGGTTTGTTTATACCGCGTGGCTGGGATCAATGGAAACGGAAAAAGAAAAGGAAACAACAGAAAAACTCGATTTGTATGTACTGAAATTTATCCATATGCACTTATAAGCAGGTGGGATACCTTATACAGTATTGGAAAAGCTAGAGAAAAGGTATTAGAAGTCGAACAGAAGTACAATGAGGTTCGCAAGCCTGAGCTTTCGACTGATGAAGACCAGAAGATCTTCAAGTATTTAAGTAACCTTAGAAGTGGAGGATTGCAAAGATCTGTTTACATTTCACTTCAAGCTCAATCCCTACTTTGAGGATACTAAGCTCACAAAGACCTTTGCTTTCCTCGAGGAGGGAACTACCAAAATCACAACAACATCAATAAAGTGGAAAGAAGGCATGGGTATTCCAAATGGCACTGCTGAAGTGAAGAAAGGAAACAAGCTATCTCATTTTGAGGAGAGTTTGGTGACATTGAAGAGATTCATGATGAGCTGGGACAATTTTTATACCTATTTGCAATATGAAAGTATAGCTAAATATATGCCAGATATTGAAGCAGAGCTATTTACATATACGACCCGCCCTCAACAATCGAATTAATACTTAATAGAAAGCAATGAAACAGTGGATATAGTCTCAACAATCGAATTAATACTTAATAGAAAGCAATGAAACAGTGGATATAGTACTTACTAGTCCGAGTCACCCTCAATCTCAAGCGGGACAACTTGAATCCCAAAGTTCCAGGCCTCCAGAATGAGATCAATAGAGATCTTTCCGAAGCCTCCATCGCACCAGTCGCCCCCCCATGTGTTCATTATCTCGAAGTACGGGGTGCCGTTCAACGACCCGTACCCCGTCAGCAAGCATGTGTGCAAACCGGGACGATCCTCCTCTCCCTCAACCGCTTGCCCCCTCCCTCGGCCTCGCCCCCTCCCTCGGCCACGCCCCCTCCCTCGGCCACGCCCCCTCCCTCGGCCACGCCCCCCACCCCTGCCGACCCCTTCCGGGCTGTTGTCCGGGCTGAGCGGGTCCATCGTGCAAATTCTCTCCGATGGCAGATGTGACAATCTCGGTGCCATCCAAATGGACACCATTAGCGGACCTCGCTCAAGCTCAATCCTCAGCGCATTCGCAAAGTCGAATGGCTCACCATCATCACTAGGACTAGGATCGAGTATCAGGTCTCCGATTACGTGTTTTACCACTTGGACTCCAGTACCAGCCATGCTTAAAAAGTCCCTAAGGTTTTGAGTCGGAGTACCCCCTTCGGGTAATTTTCCTCAAACGCGATTCCAACATTTGCTAACCACTCCGCAAACGCCCTGTTCCGATCTACTCCAGACAGGTGTCTTCTCATTGCATGTAGGGCATTTTTCAGGGAAACTGTACGAGTATCTCCATTCCTCCTTAATTGGAATTCTATATAATATACAGAGGCGGCCAATTCACAGTACTCTGAAAAAAAGAGAAATAATTAATTAAAAAGAAATTATTAATAATTATGAAAACTCATTAAACTCGCCTCAGATCAATCAATTGTGTGATTAATTATAGAAATACGAAACCAATAAATGGGTTTGAAAGGGAAACTTGTTTCTCAGATAGACATAAAATCTGATGGAGATGTTTTTCATGAGATTTTCAGAGAAAGACCTCACCACATTTCAGACATGAGCCCAGCTCACATTCAAAACTGTGATCTTCACGAGGGTGATTGGGGAAAAGTTGGATCTGTTATTTTGCGGAACTACATCCATGATGGAAACGAGAGGGTGGCAAAGGAGATAATAGAAGCAATTGATGAGGAGAAGAATTCGGTGACCTTCAAGGTGATTGAAGGTGATCTTATGGAGCTCTACAAAACCATGAAGATCATTGTCCACGTGTTGGCCGTTTCAGGTTTTCGTAGTGCTCGTACGGGAGCCCGAATGCCACGCTGATGGGTTGAGAAATGGAGCAGGCTCAGTCCCCTCCAGGGTAACTTCACTCACCGTCCACCAAGCTTGGCCCGAAAACAGCCCGCACACAAAAAACCCCCAAAATCCCCACTCACAAAACAGACTCGGCTCACACAACGAAGACTCCTAGGACACTCACAATCCCATAATCACCAAGATTAAATCAGATAAGAGAGAATTTTTATCACTGAAGATAAAGTCAGAGAAGAGAACTTCAAGAGCGAGAGAACAGGGATAAGTTTTTCAAAAGTGCTGCGTGTTATCTTTTCTAATTGCTGCTTAGGAGAATTTTAATACGTTCGGGCCTAATAATCTGATGGCCGCTAGAGTGACTTCTAATTTCTAAACCTTGAGGCAGCAGGTTAGTAAATAAAGAAAATGAAGGGCCAAGATCATGCCTTTTAAATACATACGGCCAAGATCAACTTTGATCAAGGTGGGCTGCCAAACTGGGCTCAGGCCAAAGAAATTGGGCCATAGAATTGTATAAATATTGGGCCATCAATAAAATATGGGCCACAATACCAACAACATCATCTTCCTAAGCCTATAGAATTGTATAAATATTGGGCCATCAATAAAATATGGGCCACAATACCAACAACATCATCTTCCTAAGCCTAATTAATTATTTGAGTGTCTTATATGTTCTGAATTTAATCTGCTCAAGCTCCCTATTTATGCATCTTTAAATTATGTGTGATATGTCTTATGCGCCCGGTTGATAAAGAAGTTTGAGATTTGTACTCAAGTGTGATATAATCTTGTGATAATATGAATAAGGGACTGTATGCGTGATTGTTGTATGATCCTTAATGTTTGAGAGTGAATAAATCCTGGTTTTAATACATGGGGTTCGAGAAGTACAGTGCAATTCAATAGTCATTAACGTGCAATTTGTATTACACTATTGTGCACACATTGTGCATGAGTTATTTGCGCCTTGCCTCAAATCAAACTAAAATCAAACGAAATATTCAGGTTATTTGATCGGTTAAGCTAACTATCATAAATAATCGAAATAATTTAGAAATTATATTATAAAAATACATTTAATAGCTTAAAATTTTATTTAATATTTTATATTATTGTTCATTATAAAGATCTAAAACAAATAAATAACAAAAAAATATATTTTTTTATAATAGTCGATCGGTTCGATTATTTTGAAAAATAAAGCTTACATCAAACTGAACTAACTAAAATTGTAAAGGTAAACACATATAATCGGTCCGACATAACGTTCGAATAGAAAAAACCAAGTCAGCNGATCAGGGTGACCAGAGAAATCCCGTACGAACGAGATAATGGCAGAGGGGTTGCAGTTATAAACAAATTTTAGTATTGTTTTTGATTTATATAACATTCAAAATAAAATCCCGTACCAAATTTCTGGAAAATCAATTTAGTGCACAATTTTTTTTTTTTTTAAATATAACCTTTAATACATAAATTTTTCTTAAACGAATTTTAACAAAAAAAATATTACAATTTAAAAATCAATGATAAAAATAAATTACAAATCTAACTATTTACAATATTTCATTAGTTCTATACTATCTACTATGTTTGAAAATATATATATATATATATAGTGACCGGTTCAAATAAAAACTAATTAATTCTGGTGTGAGAACCGTGAAAACCACCATATTTGATGCTATTTTTAATTATGTATGATGCTATTTTTAATATTACATGATGCTATCATTTTCACAAATATTAATATAAATTGTATTGTTATTTTTAATAAAATACATCCTAGTTATAATAGCACTAAAACACAATCATTCATAGCACTTTCTACCATTAAAATAGCGGTTCTCACGGTTTTTAAGGCTATGACTTGTTCTCATTTGCATCACATCCTATTTATATATATATATATATTTGTAAAAATGTATATCGATACATAAAGTTTGGAAAAGATTGGCCATGCACGTTGGTGTCTTGCCATAGTTAAGTATGTACGATAATCTATTTTCGGTAATATCATTTCTAAGTCGCTAGTATATATAGATCTTGATTCGCTTAGCAATAATAAATAGCAGACTGTATTAGCAGCTAGTTGAATTGTGTTAACAATTTAATAATGAATAAATATTTGGTAAGAGATTTGTATAGCTGATTTGACTAGTGAATCGGGTTGACTTGACTGGTGAATTGTGTTAACGGTTTAATTATAAATAAATATTTTGTAAATAATGGTTTGCATAGCTAATTTAATTATTTTATAAATCTCTCTTCTCAAAACCGCTCTTGTGTTGAACATTTTCATAATTAACATTTTGAGTACAAAATCTAATCAAATAAGTTATTTATCAAATAAGTTAGTTGGCAAATTTGATAGGTCAAACCTCTAAATGAGGTTCAATCCATCAATTTACATCAATATGTTAAACATCTAAATACATTCATAATATGGTAACATCTAAATACATTCATAATTTTAGAACGTGTTGTCTCGTAATAGTAAGTCAACTTGAACGCTTCAAAATATCCTATATTTAAAATATTATGGTCCGTAACATAGGACGGATAAAAACCAATCCAAATAACTTAGGCTACTAAATTTTGATACGTTAGCATGTCACATCTTTTAATCAAACATACTATCTTTCTCAATGCCCGTCACTCCTAATTTGTAGTTCATATATGGCAATCTTCACGCTGGTATGTATCTTTGCATTTTTTATTCATAATTTCAAGTTTAACTTATTGGAGCTCAACAAGTATATTTTCTTTTTCTTTTTCGAAAGGTATATAAATAATTAGGCTGATACTCTTGATGAATTCATTTAATTTGTGCATATACAATTTATCTATTAATTAATTATCCCTTCAGTTGTATTTTATTTTGACGCCATGAACACCGGTTTTTTGCGACACAAAGTGAACTTATACTACTCAATTCCAATCTAAATACATGAATTCTTTTAAATCTTTGAACTGATGAGTATAAGGTAAGGTGAACCTTTTTTTTGGAGAAATATAAGATTTCAGACATATTATCTACCTTTTAAATGGAAGTGATGGTAACATTACGTTATATGATTTATATACGATCGTCGAATTCGGTGAGAAAGTCACTCTTTCTTTCTTATTCCGTGTGTTTTTATTTTTGATCATTGATTACTTTCAGAAACTAATTGTTCTAGATATTTATTTGTTTACATTTTTAATTTTCACAAATTTTGGATCACTTCATTTTTCATTTAGTTGTGAAAAATAACAATAACATTTTGCATTAATTAAGTGAAATAATATTTTTTTAGCTATTCTATCATATAATAATTATTAATTTATTAACCAATATAATTGCACACTAAAAGTTGTATGGAAGTTAAACTTTGAACCTTATTGTGCTCACAATTAATACTAATCATGTTAAAATGTTGTTTTAGGTTTTAAGTGGACTGTGATCAGTATTGTTTTCGTATGATCGTTTAGAATTTATGGTGGTATGCGTGCATACATGCATATATATACATTTATGTGCTTTGGAAAATCAAATCCATAGATTTTAATTAGCTAATATACAATTTTGAACTAAAATTAAAAAAATAAAAATAAAGTATAGGGTAAGTTTATTTATATAATTAAGTGCATATTCTTAGAAAATTGAGGCAAAAAATTAGAGTCGAATTATTTGTAATTGAAATTATGCTACATTAATCATGTTACAAGATTTGGAAGTATATGAAATGATAATATCATTCTTTTCAAATTTTATTTCTTTAGCATACCAAACATCAATGGTTATGTTCATCAGCATTCATTTCTTCTACTCACGCAACTTGTATCAATTTTATTCAATTATGTCAATCATGTTGTGGATTTTAACTACGAGTTAAACATTTTCTGAAAAAAACCACAAAGTCATGGGAGGTCTTGAAAAGCTTTCCCTTTGACCCCTAAACTTTTTAATTAGTCTGAATCATTTTGAAATTTGTTCTAAACTTTTTAATTAGTCTGAATCATTTTGAAATTTGTTCGATTTCTTCTTTGGTCGTATACTATAGTTAGTCAATGTTGACTTATTGTTGGAGCTCAATACTAATTTTCCTATCCAATAGATGATTTGTCATAAGGTAGTTGAAAAAAATTCTAATAGATGAACAATAAATACTCTAAAAAATGGAGTTATTTTTCGGAGAGGGATAGAAAAGAAATAAATTTGTTTCATAGTGTTGTACTTAATTATACAAATATCATTGTTGAGCTTGGTACTAATTTTTATTTTCCGATTATCTAGATCATTTTTTTTTTATG